TCGCTTGCAGGGGCGAGTTGCGCGTCGTAAAAGTTTTTGGTTTGGTGCGGCGCACACGTCGGTTTGTGGACCTTCCAGTGACGAGTATGGCAGTCGCGCCCTCAATACCATACGACATGGCACCGGCTGCAGCGTGCGGGCGCGCTGCCTTGACCACACGCAGCGCAGGGCATGACTCTTTCTTCTTCTTGTGGACTTGCTGCCCAAATGCCAACTGAACGATCGTTGTGGATTCGAACCGAAAGACAGGGCCGTTCGGTATCCGGATCAACTTTCCTCACTTGACGAGACGTTTGACCGACCCATCATGACCATCGTCCAACATCATTGCGCACAACGCCACAACGTACCTCATCCTCGTCGGCGATTGCATTCCTTCGCGAGCGATCGCGGGCAGGCTTCACATGTTCCTCGTCATCCGGCGGAGCGATGTTGCATGGCTTGTCCGGCACTGCTCGATCACTTTGGCCAAAGTCGGATTGGGTGCGTCGTTGACAACGCCAGTGGCAGCACCACCGACGGCGACGAGACTGCGGACGGCCGCCGAGCCGGAGGGCCAACTCGATGGATCCCCTGACAGCACAAGTGTAGACGGCTGGAGCTGGCGTCGCTTCAGATTCGACACCTCGTCTAGAATGAGCTTTGTGCCTGCCTTATCAGCGCGTGGCATACGACGATGGCCCGTATTGGATCGATGACAGCCCAGACGACATCTACGATATCGGTACGACCTCATGGATTTGCGCTCATGCAGGATCGGCGATTGGCCAATCGCAAAGCGCGATATCCGGATAGGGGAAAAGCGAGTGGGTTTTAGCCAATTACAAGCGCCTTTGTATTTTTCGACGCTATGATTGGCCGATCCCGATGGATTTCTATTCTCGGTGCCATCACGAACTCACTGTGAATTTGGACTACCACCATGGTCGAGACGCGCTCGATGCAGGGGTACATAATAGCTATTATGTACCCCTGGCTCGATGATGACCGCACGCGTGGCGGCGCAAAACCAAGAGACATGTCTCCCTCGTGGGGGCAGTGTTCGAAGCACGGCGCTGACGGTCGGACCGACCGTTCTGCACCGACGGCTCTGCGCAGGTGACAGCGCCTCGGCGACTGGCAGCGTGGATGCCGTCCGTCTTGATAAGGCGGGCCCCACGGTGTCGCTCGGTAAAGTAATTGATGGCGAGATGGCGAACGAGGTCTTGGCATCGATGTAACATGCTGGCTCACGCAGTTCTGGACACCTTGTACAGCATTTTCGTCATAGAGTTGGGAGGTTTTGACCTACCCCTTTTGGCACACCAATGTACATGGAAATCGGAATGAGCCCGCTTGGTTTAAATGGCGTACACTGGGAGCAACAATCTTTAGTCCCACGCGTTGTCGTATCGGTAATGTACCCGTATATCGATGACTCATGACGATCTTTCCTCTCGATCAGTCATGTTGAAGTTGCAGAGTCGCGATGCGGAGCGTGCCACGTCACCTGTAGCAGGTTGTCCAAGACAAGACAATTGTTTCATCGACTCGTTGCTTGTCGAAACTACGTTGATTACTTGAGGGACGTTGAAAGGGTATTTGTGCTAATGAGTCCGGCAACAGTTTTTGATCAAGGACTACTGCAGTAGGAATGACTCTCAATGGCTTTACGAAGCCATGCCATTGCTGAAGGCGCGTACAACGACCTAGTGCTCTCGGTAGTCGACCTCGGTTACGCCGGCAAGGGAGTGAAACTAGACGCGGAAATCCCGATTCAACCCAAACACGCTATTTGCAACGACTCAAATCCCCTTGAAATAACGTGAAACACACGAGTGGTGGTTTCCATGGTCGCTTCGTTCAAGCCAATTGAATATTCCTGCGAGCACGAGCGTTTCAAAGCGGATCTCTGCGCGACGATTGGCTCCCAATTTGCGATAATTCGCATTTACAAGTACATGTACCCTCCAAGTGGCCACATACCGTTGCGTGGCGTCCGTCAACGCTACTTTTCTAAGCGAATGAGCCAAAATCCTCGGAAGCTGCCGCGAGGATTACCACAGTCGAGCACTTGCACCATGTTGCGCCGCCTTCTGCACGCGCCTCGCCCTCTCGCGCGCCTCTACTCGAAGCACCTCGGCGTGCTGCCCGAGGTCCCGCCCGAGTGCCTCCAGGCGCGGACGCCAACGCTGGACGTGCCGCCGATGCTGCACTCGTTCACGGAGATGTTCCGCAGCATGTCG